AATTTAAAAAAAAATCTATTTACATATGACACTTTCTCTCTACTGTTTTTGAGCTTGTGAACTCTGACCCTGCTGTTTTTCCAGCTTTGTTGAATCAGGAGCTTTCTGTGCTCTTGATTTTACCTTTCGAACAGAGGAACTATTCTGAAAACAACTGTCTCGGAGATGCTGCTGAAGCACAGACTCTGAAGTAGTTTTCCCCATCCCAGCCCACCAGACTAACCTCATAAATAACCCCAATTCAGCCACTGGTATCGCTGTAATGATGCTGGCCCCTAAGCACATACAGGGAGATACAAGAATTTACACCGTTTAAACTAATGAGGATTTTACCCCTATTTTGAAACAAAGTCCAGTGGGCCCACTCCCATGATTAAAGTTTCTCTGGCTTGGAGCGAAAGGGACAAGGATTGCCCTAGGTTCAGGGGCTGGGATTCAAACACATGCTGCCTGCCCAGCAAATGAGCCAGAACTCCACTCCCAGGCACATTGGTGTAAACCTGGAGTCACTCTGGTGCCGTGAGTGGGGTTACTCTGGATTTACATGGCTATCACAGAGAGCAGAGCTGGGCCCAGTGCGCCCAATTCCCACAGCTGCAAAATCTGGTGCAGCCCCACGTGTGACACTGGTGACCGATCGTCACTGATTCCAAGTCAGGGTACTCCTGAGCAGGGGGAACAGGGGTGGGATAGGCAGGAACTGGAGATGAACCAGGGGTGCTTGGGGAGCCAATAGGGAGGAGGTACTGAGGGGAGCCAGGGGCTGCTGAGGTGGGAGGAGCGTGGAAGAGGGGTTTGCGGTGATTTTGTGGAGCAGCTGTGGGCCAACAAGGGGCAGTGTGACTGTGAGGAGTTAGAAGGGGCGACTGGGGACCCCGGCAGGAGTGTGGAGTGTTGGAGCTGGTTGGCAGAGGGCTGTATCAGACCCCTCCGGCCATTACAGTCATATGGGCTCGCAGCACAGGCCTGGTTAGCGGTGCCCCCAGGCACTGCCAGGGAGCCGGGCTGGTGTCACAGCAATCCCAGGGGGTGATGGTTACAGATTGTGGGTGGTGGGGGGAGGAGAGATGAGCGTGGAGGCTTTCAGGGCAATGGAAGAGCGTGAGGCAGCCTGGCAAGGGCTGTGTGTGTTGGGAGGGACAGGCTGGGGTGTGTTAGGGGGCACTGGGAACCAGGCGTTTGTTGAGGGAATGGGGGACCTGGGGCAGCCTCCTTCATTCTGCCCCTGCCCGATTTTCTCCCCCTTCTTCAGCCCTCTTCTCTTCCCTCCCTTGATCCCCAGGTCCCCCCCTGCTTATCGCCTTCCACTACCATTGCTACACCTCCTCCCCAAGGGCCAGAGAATGGGGCGGCAGAGAGCGCTGAGAGGCAACGAGACCACTTGGCTACCTCAAATCCAGTGCCAGGGAGCCCCAGGAGCAGGAACTGCAGCTGCTGCCCACGGCCCGGCTGAGTGTGCGAGGGTCCTGCCAGGCTGCGGCTGACGTGACACGGTGCCCAGCGCACGAGTGTCATAGAAAGGGCCTGGCACTTGGCAGCCCCAGGTTCCAATCTCACTCACACCAGTACTTCAGTGTCAGCCCCTCAGTGCAGTTAATCCAGAGCAAGGGCCCCTCTGAGTGGAAAACTCAGAGCAGCAGTTTCCCTCCAAAATGAAGAGACATTGCTGCAGTTAGACAGGATGGGAAACCCCAAGTCTGAGGGTGTTTTATATTTATATTTGAAAATTATATAGACAACAGAGGCAATTTTATATAAATACTTAATAATTAGAGAGAAGAGGCAAAGCATGAGTGGATTTTATACCAACGTTTGAGAATTGGGGAGAAAATGGGAAAAAATTGAGGCTTTTAAAATCAGTATTTGATATTTAGTGGCAAGGGGCAATATCTGAGGGCTGTTTTAAATCATTCTTCAATAACTAGAGAGAGAGAGGGAACATTTAAGGGGTTTTGATGTCAATATTTGAAAATTGGATGAAAAGTGGCATAATCTGAGGAGATTTTAATCACTGTTCAATAATCTGATGGAAACTGGTGCAGGGTGAGCAGATTTTATATCAATATTAAATAATTCGAAAGAGCAAATGGGAAATCTAAGGGTATTCAATAAGATTATAAAGAGAAGTAGCAACATCTGAAGTGACTTTATAGTAGTATAGAATTAAAAGGGCCAAAATCTGAGGAAACTTTCTATCAGTATTTGAGAATTGGATAATGGCAAAAATCTAAAATACCATTTATATTGATACTTGATAATGACAGCGAAACAGATCAAAATCTGAGGGGATTTGGGGTGATTTTGTAGCAGTGTTTGATTATCGAAGAAGAAAGGGTGGAAATTTGAGGGGATTTTATATCCATATTTGGTAAATACATCCTTGGTAACTACACACATGAGGCCATACAGCCAGGAACGGGGAATACAGGTGCGAAGGGGTACACATGCCCCACGCTGGCTGGAGAGCGTTAAGGAGCTGTGTGGTCCCGTTCAGCCCTGCAATAGGTGTTGGACAGCAGCGGGAGAGCCCAGCTCAGCTGTGAATTGGCTGGGAGGAAGAGCAGACCTCCAGCTCTCACTCTGTGAGCCAGAGAAGTCTGGCTAGGGCCAGGTATTGACTAGGCAGCGTGCCTGCCAGAGCCTCCCCGAGGAAAAGGAGGCCTGACAGGGGATGATTGTTTGGTTTGCTACCAGTGACTTGGCCGAGTGTTGCTGAGTAACACCGTTGCCGGTGGTGCCCTGCTGGAAAGGGGTGACAGCTAACTCAACCCCTTTTGTCTTTTGCACCTGACTGGGGATACAGCCGAGGGTGGTAGTGAGCCCAGGAAAGCCCTGGTCACAGCAAGCCATACCAGACTGCGGGCTGTACCCTGGGAAGCAGTGACGCTGAAAAAACATAGGGGTCAGCTGGGCAAACAACTAACCATCAGCTCCCGGGCGGCAGACAAAAGGGTTGTGTGATCCTTGGATAAACAGGGGAGCAGTGAGTAGAAGTAGAGAGGTAATTTTTACCTCTGCGCACAGCATCGGTGAGACCGGTACTGGAATATTGTGTCCAATTTTGGTACTGACATTTTAAAAAGGATGTTCAAAAATTGGAGATGGTGCAGAAAAGAACCACAAAAATGGTTCTCAGGGGCTGGAGAAAATCTCTTCTCACAAGAGCGTTAAGGAGCTCAGTCTGTTTAATTTATCACAAAGAAGATAGAGAGCGGACTTGGTTACAACCTGGAAAAGTACCTTCCTGGGGAGAAAATACCAGGTACTAGTGGGCTCTTTAATCCAGCAGAGAAAGTTGTCACAAGAACTAATGGCTGGAAGCGGAAGCCAGACAAATTCAAATGAGAAATGAGACATGAATTTTTAACACTAAAACAAATTACCCAGAGAAGTGGTGGATTTCACTATTCTTTGATACTTCAAATCAGGATGGTCTGTCTTCCTTGAAAACATGCATGGGCTCAGTACAGGGGTAACTGGGTGAAATTCTCTCGCCTACAGTATACAGGGGATCAGACTAGATGGTTGAATGGTCCCTATTGCCCTTAAAACAGATTTATCTTTTCTCTGATCCTGGGATTGTTCTACAATAGAGACAGCTCAATGAGCCTTTTAATAGCCCTTGAGTTTAAATGACTCACCTCAAATTATTGTTCACCCTGTTCTTTGCTGGGACAGTTAAAAATTCATCCCTTTGTTTCTGTTCCCCTTCCCAGGCTCAAATGAGATTTCCAGTCTCAGAAAGGAAAAAATATGTTGACATATTAGGGCCCTGATCCTTCAAACACTTACACAAGTGCTTGGCTTTAACCCAGTGAATCGTCCCACTGACTTCAAAGGGACGGCTCATGTGCTAAAGGTTAAACATGGGTATGTTCCCAAGATCAGGGCCTAGAATGACAGGAGAAGCCACGTCATGTCACAGCTGTGTCCATCATAGACCATGTCTCACCAGAAGCCCAGAAACCCTCTCACTCGCTTCACTCCTGGATGACAAGAATTCTCTGAATGGATCTCGACCTGTGCAGCACTGATCCATGTTCCAGTGGGGTGAACTAGGCACATAATACGTTGGTCTCTGCAGAATCTCATGTTAGCAATTTTCGTTCATTCCCCTTGTTTTTCCATAAAACAGACACCACAAGGAATTGAATTCAGTATCTTTGGGGAAAAAACATAAGGCAGAACTTTATCCATGGGGAACAGACAGTGTTTTTAAAAGGATGGGCTGGAAAGTCATGCAAATGGAAACGTTCTGGGGCAAACCAAGAAACTCCTGAATAAACAAAAAAGGAAAACAGGCTGTTAATTGGAAAACTGATCAACAATTGTGTGTAAACCTAATGGTTATTCTGGACAATAACAAAATGACCATCATGTAACTACATACAATGCAGCATGTAGCCATCTTGTTTCATGATGCATTGTGCAGAAATACTTTAACAAAATAATACTCATTCTCTCTGCTAGCAATCCTGCAGGGGCATAGAGGACTCATTAGTGACACTCTATCCAGCTCCATGTATCTATTCTAACAGCACACTTCTTGCTACTCAGATTTCCACATAATGCACATAGTGTCTCTCCTCCAGAGTCATCTGTCCTGCTAAGATTAGATTTATTGCTGAAATTGTCTAGTAATTATTACACCTAGAGAGTCCCTCTCCTGCGTGGATGATTCTCTGCCATGTACCATCCTATTGGCTTCACGATGAAGCTCTCCTATTCACCACTGTGTATATTATGATTTATTATTTGTATTACTGGAGTGCCTACAACCCTAGCTATGGACCAGGGCTCATTGTGGTAGGCACTGTACAAACTCAGAACAAAAGCATATCATCTAAATGGGTAAAGTGTTGATTTTCCGGGTCTTTTCTTCGTCATCTGCTCCACGAAGCTGTACCATGCTCGTCCTACTGATGGTCTCTCCTCTGTGTGTTCTGAGACTGTCTCTGCAAAGCCCTCACCGGCACTCACTGCAGGTCAGCTGGCCCTCCCCGGCGTGGGCCCGCTCGTGAGTGGTGAGATGTGCCCACTGGCTGTAGCTTTTCCCGCACTCGGTGCATATGTAGAGGCTGCCTGCGGCGTGGGTCCTCTGGTGACTCACCAGGTGGTTGTTCTGCTTGAAGGTCTTCCCGCAGTCCTTGCAGCGGTAGGGCCTGTCCCCCGCATGGCTCTTCTCGTGCTTCAGCAGGTTGGGCTTCTTCCTGAAGAACCTGTCGCACTGGGTGCACCTGTAGAGCTTCTCCTCCTGGTGGGTGCGCAGGTGGCTGATGAGGTGGTTCTGCTGTTTGAAACCTTTCTCGCACTCGGGGCACTTGTAGGGCGTCTCGCCGGTGTGCACCCGCTGGTGGGTTTTCAGGTTATGCTTGTGGCTGAAGCGCGTGCCGCACTCGGCGCAGGCATACGGCGTCTCCCCCGTGTGCGTCTTCTGGTGCTTCCGCAGGCGCTGCTTCTCGCTGAAGCGCTTCCCGCACTCGGCGCACTGGTGGGGCGTCTGGCCGGTGTGGATCCACTGGTGCTTCCGGAGGTTGTTCTTCTGCCGGAAGCTCTTTCCACACTCGGCGCACATGTGCGGTTTCTCTCCGGTGTGGATGCTCTGGTGGGCTTTGAGGATCTTCTTCTGCCGGAAGCACTTCTCGCACTCGGTGCACTTGTACGGCCTGTCGTCCGGGTCAGGGCTCTGCGGGGCTTTGAGCATCTTCCTTCCCCGCCAGCTTATGGCACAGGAAAGGTATTTCTAGTATTAGTATTTAACACTGATCCTTAACCTGGTCAGGGCCCCATTGTGCTAGGAGCTGTACAGACACATAGGATTTCTCTCTAGTGGGGGCTGCATTAGGAAGATTCTGCTCTGGGAGTCTCTCCCCACATCACATAGTCTCCATAGTCTAATATCGGCAAGTGTGCTGGGTCTTCTTTCACCAGGAGTGGATTTCTCTCCTAGGTTCCTCTTTGGTTTCAGATTTCACCAGGTCCTGCCGCGTGGCCCATTATCACAGCCCTAGAAACCATCCTCATCGTGTCTTTCTGAAGCTGTTCCCTGCAGTTCAATGTATTTTGTATGATGCCGCTCCTGTTTGTTCGTGGATTCTTCAGGTACTGGAGAAGAAAGAAATTCTGGAGGTTACTGTGATGGCAATACAGTTGTCCCAACATGAAGCATATATATATTCATAAGCCTGAAAACATGAGACCTTCCGCTGCTGAAGTGAGGGAGAATGAAATCGGAATAATTTGAGCCTAGTTTGGCAATTGTTGCTTGCCCAGAATGAAAGTCAATTGGGGGGTGGGGGGTGGAGCACACTGGGAATGCAAGCTTGAGCTTCTTACATCATATATAGTATTAGCAGTTACACACCATCAACTGAGACCCCAATGCGGGTCTGACACCACCACAAAGCAGTCTCGGGTGTCAGTGGAGCCCCTCTTTCAGCCTGGGGAGATGTAGCTGCTATTTGGGTTATTTTCTTTTTTACAACGAAGCGGGGAATTAAGGCCAGAGTTTTATTCAAAATCATTTCACCATAAAGTGAACTATATACTTAATTCTCCACCGGGGCTTTTTCTTGAATAACGGCTTACATCTATCTCCCTGGCAGCAACAGGGGCAGAAAATGTTGTTCCTCTTGCTAGAAGAATTGAAGCTGTCATTAAATTGGTGTGTTTGCGGCCCAAGTCCCTCAGCAATACAATAAAATAGAATAATTGTCAGACAGACACCAAAGGCCAGCGTCTTTGGTGCCAGCCAGCTCCCTTTGCTGGGCAGAGATGTTCAGCAGGAATGTCTCTGGCCCTTGCAAAAATTCTCGGCCCGGTTTTTCCAGTCACTTAGACCCATTTTACAGCAGTGAGGTCAGTGGAGTTGCTCCGTATTTGCACTGCGGGAAGTGAGAGGTGAATCAGACCCTCTGATTGCTAATCCTGGACCAAACTCACAGGGGTGCTCAGGACCTGCACTGAATTCAGTGTGTGTTGTGGGTGCGCAGTGCCTCTCCAGAGCTGAAGCCGTAATAAACTCTGCTCTGAATTCCACGCTTGTAAAGCTAGAGTAACTCCATTGACATCAGTGGAGTTAGTCCAGATTGACATGGGTGTAAACAAGAGCAGGATCTGACTCATCACTTTGTTTTACAGCTTCTAAATTCTCTAAAACTAGCACAGGCCAAGGTCTGGTCTCAGTGTGAATTGGGCTATTTCGCTGGTGTGAATTGGGCTATTTCTTTTGAAAGCAGGGCAGGGGACTTACTCCACGTTTGCCCGACATAACTGAGCCGCAGTCTGATCCTGACTAGTTATTAGTCATCACACGGGCAGCAAACGCTTCAACAGATTTCTCTTCGCTGCACTGATTTGCCATGCAGAGATTTTACGACATTTGGATGTGATTAAGCTAGTGATGCTCGGTCCTGCTCCTAACAACAGCCACAGCAAGACTCCCATTGATTTGAATGAAAGCTGGATTAGCCCCAAGATCACTGTAAGATTCCTACCTGAGCAGAAACCTCTCCAGGCGTTTCCTTGCTTCCCCTTCCTCTGGCCAGACTGGGTTTCTCAGCAGAGAACTGGAAAATACCGAAGGCTCCAGACCACTCTCTGACAGGGTTCAGTTCTCTGAGCATTCCTCATGCCTGCTTGCGCTCTGCTCTCACTGCATCGCATCATGGCTGCACACTCAGCCTCACACCCCAGCTTGTGCTCAGCTCAGTAAAGTAACAGGGGAAGCAGCACAGCGAACAGAAACGCAGCTGAGCTGGGGGAGGGGGTGACTGGTCCCTGCTTGGAGAGCAAATAGATGCTGGATTTAGAGCATAATCTCCAGAGGCTTCGCTGGGGGGAAGGACGGGGCTCTGGTCTCCCTTGTTGCTGTGTTTAATTCGCCCAGCCTGCTCTGTTGTGAGAGCAGGGCTCTCGCAGGGTATTCCTGGGAGTTGTAGTCCTTCCTGGAAGGATGGTTGGGATTTCTGGTGTTGTTTCCTCAGCTCAGGCCGAGCAGAGTGTATCGCACTGGTATAACACAGACTGTGGCGTGCTGGGTGCTCGGGGCCAGATCCACAGCCGGTGTCGATGGAGTCTGACATCCCCGGCCCAAGGGCAGGTCCTGGCACTGTGCACTGATGAGGCTTCTTAAAATAAGGGATTAAAAATGAAAACCCAGACAGTGCGGCTGCCTGTCTCACTGAGACGGATTCCAGCTGGTCAGGGCAGCAGCCTCCCTGCCCCCTATCATCAGACTTGGCTGTGGACACTCTGAAATGAACAGGTCAGCTAGATAGAGAATGGACGGGGGGCTTTTTGTTAGGCTGGTCTGATAAAAGTGAATATAATGTGCTTGGCCAAAACGGGCTGGTTCCTGCAGTGGGGTGAGCCAGTCACTGCTCCCGTGGCCCGTCGGTAAGGGAAATGGAGAGGACACCGTGCTGAAAGTACAAACCCCCGTGTCACAAACCCCGAGTGTTCAAAACGCACGAGCCAGGTCCTCCAAAGGATGCCATTGCCTTAAAAATCCTGGAAATTCACACCCACAAACGGCTGGTTCTTTTATTTGCTGCCGGGTTTGTGAGCCTTTAAGGGTGCGTCTACACCGTGAGGGGCAGCCCGCGGCAGTGAATTGCAGACCCCAGGTCGACAGCTCGGACTCACAGGTCTGGCGCTACAGCAGCTCTGGAGCCTAGGGTAGGGGAAGGGCTTCAGAGCCCAAGCACCAGTTCGAATCTCGATGCAATTGATTTTAGAGCTGTAACGCAAGCCTGAGTCTGCCCAGGCGCTGAGATTTGCTGCCGCGGGCTGTGTACACGTGTCCTCAGAGGCAGATGGGTCATGTGTCCAAGCTTCCCTGCAAAGCCATGAGCACTAGCTGAAATTCGTATGTTAACATGACTCCTGGAGCTGGGGCTTATAAGAAAAGCATCCAATACATGAGACTTGCAATAAAACCATGAGTGTTGGCTACACTGAAACCCAGAGTTTATTATACAATCCCTCCAGTTCTTCAGCACTGCCCTAGATCCACTGGAGCACGCAATCGGCCAGATCCTCAGCTGATGCATATGAGCAAAGTTTCATTGACTTCATAGATTTACACCAACTGAGGACCTGGCCCAATGTCTCCATAGTGCAGGATTAGTATTCGTTACTACTGAACACCCTGCGTCTCTGAGCAGTACAGCTCCTAGGTTTCTCCTTCCCACTGAATATTTGTATTTTCAGTAAGCTTCTTCCATGCGTGTATGTTTGTATTGTTCCAAACATTTGGTTAATTTTGTGACGCGGGCAAACCAGGGGCCATCTCTTGCCAATACTGAAGGCAATAGCTAAAAACTAACAAATTTATAGCTGGAGACCAAGCCAATTCACCTGTATGTTATCTATTTTGATCAAAACTATTAGTCTTATAAGAATAAAAACAACAAGGAGTACTTGTGGCACCTTAGAGACTAACACATTTATTTGGGCATAAGCTTTTGTGGGCTAAAACCCACTTCATCAGATGCATGGAGTAGAAAATACAGTAGGAAGATATATATAATATATATATACATGTAACCCTTCTGCCCCTCTGAGTTGGCAGCAACAAGGGCCGGGTACAGTATCTAGGGGTTCCGTTTCAATAACGCAATGCAAAACCGGCTCGAGCCCCCACCCAGTGACCTGGGACAATTACATACCACCCCCCCGGGCGCCTCTAGGAGGCAATACTTCCCCTCTCGCAAGCACGGGGTCTGAGTGTAGCAAAAGCCTTTTAATAAAGGAGGGAAACAATGCGGCATTATGTTGGGGAAACACCACAAACAGGATTCATAACACAAACCATGAGCAAAAGACCCACCTCCAAGTAAGTTTGGCAGTGTCCTTTTCCCCTCAGGGTCTTAAGTCCAATCACGCCAAAGTCCAACAACCCCAAAGTCTCTGTCCCTGGTCAGTGCCGCCCCAGAGTTCAAAAGTTTATCTGCAGAGTTTTACCCCCCCCCAGCCTGGGCGGAAATGGGGGGGCACACGGGATGTTAAGGGGCACCTTACGTGGTCCGAGGCCGACTGCCCCACCTCTCCGTGGAGTTCTGCTGCAGCCTTTACCACGAATGGCTCCGCTCTACCAGCCACGCCGCGCCGCTCCACTCCGCTCCTCCAGCTGTCCCTGCAAACTGCTCCGCTCTGCTCCCCGTTCCGTGGGCCGCTCCAACCGTCCCACAAACTGCTCAGCTCTGCCAGCCGCTCCACTCCACCAGCCGTCCCATGAACCGCTCCAGCTGCCCCCACAAATGGCTCAGCTCCACTCTGTGCCGCTCCACTCGCTGTTCCATGGGCCACTCCAACCGTCCCACAAACTGCTCGGCTCTGCCAGCTGCTTAGCAATATATCTTCAGGCTCCCCCACTGGTTAACACAGCACTCAGCGATCTCAGCTCAGCAATTTTAGCTCTTTTAGTGATTTCAGCTTATAGTAGGGGAACCCCAGTGCTGGTGCACCATTGGCCCAAAGTGAATTCAGTTCAGCAACTGCTAGCTAGATTCCTAATGGAAGCAAACTTAGCTATGCTAGTCAACAGTGGAGAGAGAGGGTAATGCAATTGGTGTTCCAGGTCCCCAAAAGGCACCCATACCATCAGGTACACATACCTGTCTCCAACCTCTCACAAATCACTGGGTTTTATAACCCATGCCCCTTGTCTAGCAAGTGCTACTTAGTTACTGGTGAGTCCCTCTGTCATACAACAGTTCCACTGGCCTTGATTCACAGAATCAGGGTAACAACACTTTATTCTTCCTGCCCCAATAACAGAGAAACTGGGGATCCCACACCAGCCAAAGTAACCACTTTCAGTTGCTGTTGTCCCAGGCTAGGCAGGTGGGTGTGCCTATGCAAACAAGATCAGCCCCTGAAGTTCTTTTCCACACTCACCATAATTCACCACCAGATGTCAGGGTAGAGCTTATCCTGACTCTGCTTACATCCAGAGTACATGAAAAGATGGGGGTTGCCTTACCAAGACAATTCAATTAGAGTGGGCTATTATCAGCAGGAGGAAAATCACTTTTGTAGTGGTAATCAGGGTGAGGCTTCATCTGGAGTACTGTGTCCAGTTTTGGGCCCCACACTACAAGAAGGATGTGGAAAAATTGGAAAGAGTCCAGCGGAGGGCAACAAAAATGATTAGGGGGATGGAACACATGACTGATGAGGAGAGGCTGAGGGAACTGGGATTGTTTAGTCTGCAGAAGAGAAGAATAAGGGGGGATTTGATAGTTGCTTTCAACTATCTGAAGGGGTGTTCCAAAGAGGATGGATCTAGACTGTTCTCAGTGGTAGCTGATGACAGAACAAGGAGTAATGGTCTCAAGTTGCAGTGGGGGAGGTCTAGGTTGGATATTAGGAAAAACTTTTTCACTAGGAGGGTGGTGAAGCACTGAAATGGGTTACTTAGGGAGGTGGTGGAATCTCCTTCCTTAGAGGTTTTTAAGGCCCAGTTTGACAAAGCCCTGGCTGGGATGATTTAGTTGGGGATTGGTCCTGCTTTGAGCAGGGGTTGGACTAGATGACCTCCTGAGGTCCCTTCCAACCCTGATATTCTATGATTCTATGTGCTGGCAACGGAAGTCTCCCATTATCACCGTTTCATCAGACTTTGTAATCTCTTGATATCCTCCAACACTGCAGTGACTCTCCTTTTCCTGACCAGGGGCCTGGGAGTGTGACCCTTCTAGCTTATTGGTGATCTTGTGATTTGGGCCTCTTCAAACAGAATTTTTATCTCAGTAGCTTGTACATCCCTGCTCTCAGTGGGATGGGTGTGTTCTATGGCTGAGTGTATTCTGAGAAACTCAGCAACTGGGGATGATGGTTTCACTTTCAGGTTTGCTCACTTCCTTTTCTGGGGAAATTCTGTGTGAAGGCATTGGAAAAAGCTCTGAAGTTTTCTGAACTCTCCTGCCTATTAGAGCCAAGGAATCTGTCCACCAGGTAGGACCGAGGCAAATATCTTGTCAGAATGGAATTATATTGGCTTGTACAAACGTCAGAATTCTTTGTTTCGTCCTTTTCTGGTCTCCAGAAATGTGTCTGAGCCTGTCAGCCCTGGGACTGGCCTGTTTTATAGGGCCTCAAGGGTGGGAGCTAGCTGCTGGGGTCTGAATTATGAACAGAAATCTGTGGGATAAGTGTAGGGTGCTGCTAAATTGCCTTTTCTCTCAACTGTCAAAATTGTATTATTTAACTGAGCTGGAGAGTGTGTATTTAGTGTTAGATGGCTGGAAGCTTCTGGGTGTGGAAGGGCCTGGATTTTTGTAGCAAGCAGTATGATTAAAAAATCCATTCTAGGGGCACCTACACGTTGACATTTTTATTTTTTGAGGAAAACACGAAGGTCGGCGTGGTGGGGGGAGGTGCTGAAGAGGCTGTGCGTAGGGGCGCGTAAGGTGGAAATCCGGCCCTGCCTGCATCCAGGTCACTTCCCCACCTGGGCTGTGCTGTGAGGCATCAGGAGCTGCTGCTCTCTTGCCCTCTCCTTACGCAGCCCTGGCAGGGAAAGTGACCTGGATGCAGGGGGTGACCTGACATCGCGCCTCGCTCCCCCCCACCACCCCCTAGGGGTGCACAGGGCAGAGGAGCAGCAGTGCAGGGGGTGAGTGAGCAGCAATGCCGGCTGCTCCGTGCATCCAGATCAGTTTCCCCACATGGGCACAGGAGGGGATGCAGGGGTTAGAGGTGCAGGAGGGGGCAGGGATTGGGGTGAAGGGGGCACAGTGCAGTGGTTAGGGCACAGGAGAGGAGCAGGGGTTAGGGGTGAAGGGGGTGTAGGGATTCAGGGTGCAGGAAGGGAGTGCTGGGATTAGGGGCACAGGAGGGGGCAGGTGTTAGGGACAAAGGGGGCACA